AGCACAACTCAAATATAAGCCAAAGAATATAGAAAGATTATAGCTTTTGATAGAAAAGACCTCTAAATACTATACATGCATAATATATATCAATTATGCTATACATAATATAATAATAATATAATATAATATATTTTTCCATTATTTATAAATATATTTTCAGCTCGCGCGCCTGTCAAATGATTATTTTGTTTTATTTTATTAAATTAATATTAATACTGAATAATTGTGTGCTAATTGCATTCAAATTGTTGGCATTTTCTGGACAGCATCCCCCGATCTCCGTTCATCTCCATTCATCTGAGTTGCAAGCCGCAGAGTGCGCATGCTGCAAGTTCGTTGCTTCAGTCTTTTGTTTTGCTATCGAACAATTAATCAGCCGTTCGGCAATGACAAATCGTTTGCTTAGTTTAACACAAATTGTGTGTATTTTGTGCTTTTTTAATAAATTGATTTTCACTTGAGTGACAGCAGCAACGTCCCCGCCCCCTCTGTCGCCTCCGCTGCCACCCTCCGTTGCCTTCATTTGGCTATGATTCAGATTTGTGCGCTGCAGTCTGTATTTAAATTTTCTGATTTGTTGCTGTGCAGGAAGTAGCTTCCGTATATCAATTTCCATAATAATTAATTAATCGTTGAAACGAATGAGATGATAATTAACTGAATGTCTTACAAAATTGTATTGTAATTTGATATTTTAATGATTTTAAATCTTTTTCTGTAGATTTTCTTCAGCCAGAAATTCTTTTATGTACAAAGTTTGTTTATTTAAAATATTTTTTTATTGTTATATTTATTTTTTATTGAAAATATATTAATTTACATCTATTTATTATTATTTATATATTTATTATTATTATATATTTTCAATTATATATTTTTTTTTTATTAAAAAATATATATATTGTATTATACCAAATGTAATTGAAGGCAAAATTTATTCACATTACTTTTAATACATACTTTACCTTAAGAGCATTCCCAAGGCAGCTTAGTACTCCAGCCATTTCCAACTCTCATTTCTCACTGATCTCAGCCAGATAAGTTCCACAACTCTTCAACTAAAGTCTGCAGTCTTTTCTTTTTCTCTGTACAATTTCACAATTATTTTTGTATTTTAATGAAGCTCCGTTGAGCACTTGAGAGTGTTGCATCTAATGGGCCCGAGCTGTGCTAGTCAATAATCTAGAGCGTGTTTTCCTTTCGCCAGGCAGGAGCGCCGCAGCCGCAGCCGCCTCGTCTCGACTTGTCTCGCGGACTTATGAATATTTATAGATTATTGGCTTGAAACACTAAACGTGGCCAACGGGCTGCGCGCTTGCAATGAACACCGAATGAGCGAGTGAGTGAGTGAGTGAGCGAGAGAGCGAGTGAGCGAGAGAGCGAGTGAGAGACCCAATTTATGGGTCAGATTCCGTACGGTGGCTCGCAACCGCAACGGTTTCTGGTGTGTGCTGCGGCCCGTCCGCTGGGATTGGGACAACTGGTAGCCAGTTCGTACGACATAATAATGGCAATA